GGGGTGGTCTTCGAAGCCTGCTGGTGTTTGCAAAATCTCCCTGCAAATACCCAAGAGGGATACAGCAGAAACGCAGGAAATGTGATTCATGGAAACATCATTGACCAGGGAAACAGAAGCCGTAGTTCCTCTTTTAGATTTCCACTAATAAACTGTTGTAACTCAGCAAGTGAGAACTGCTCCTTAAATGATGTGTACAGAGCTGGTAGCAAAGCAGCGTAAGAAATTATTCATCCATGCATTATACTCAGAAAGAAAATGGAGTCATCCAGCGGAGTAAGAGTATCAGATAAATGCAAATTACTGTTATTATTTTCAATAATGCTGTCAAATTCTTCTTAAAAGATCCTTTCAGCTATGATAGGCATTTTGGTATACGTATTAAAAATTTTCTAGTTGTAATGAACAAGTGGTAATGTGTGCTCTGTATAACGGGGTAGCAGTAAAATGCGGAGAAAAGCAGCACTTTTGCACATTATTTTCCGATCTGCCTTTAGAAGGTTTGCCCACAGATGGAAAGGGATTACAGTGAATCTCAATTCAAATATCTGATGTAAAATGTCACAGCGAAGACAGTGTGGAACAGGATCAATAAATATCCCTATACAGTTTGCATAGTGACCACATATTAGAGAACATATTTTTAAGAATTAATCAACAGAATAAAAATAATAAACATAAAGGTGCTCATGCAGATGGAACCAAGATAGCAGAAAACTAAAGATAACATACACCTGCCATTAGGGGAATAGTTAAGAAGATCATGATACTTAAATTAAATGCCATTCAGCCATTAAAAACTAAACACTAAAAACACATGTATAACACCACAAATTGTAAAATACCATGGGAAATGCACAGTTAAGTGGCTAAATCAAGATTCTAAACTATATGAATCTCTGACACTGATAACGTAAGATAGATATATGTACAAAGACACAAGAAGACATTTAAAAGTTGACATAATTGATTTTTTCTTTTTTAAAAAAAACTGTAATGCTATTTTATATTGCTTTATAAGTATTTGTAAGTTTATAATTGAAGCACAATAAAGACATATTCTATTCATTTTAAATGTTGACTATAATAGACATAGTGCTAAGTCCTTTATATACATGATCTGTCCCCCAACCTAATCAAACCCCCCAAAGAGACAATAATAGTAATTCAGAGCATGGCCTGCTACATCTTTCACTGTGCTGGTGTATAAACACATGCATAACACAAAACATATACAAACACAAAAAGAGGGTCTATTTTTTCTATCAAACTTCTATCACACTCTGTGTTTTACCCTAAAATTGTTTCCCTCTCCCTTCCTTAGTAACATCACTGCATGTTTGTAAGTCAATATAGATAGCTGTAATTCATTTCTCTAGTAATCCTTCACAGTCAGAACTTGAATGATTAATTCAGCCATTTTTCTGCTAAGGAGCAGCAAATTGTTTGCAGTGCTACCACTACAAGGAAAAGCTGCCTGGGGATGTTTATAGTTGTGCCTTATGTCATGGTGTATTTAATCCTGGAGGATAAATTCCCATAGCTGGGGTTTCTGGGCCAAACACATATCCATTTTTTTCATTTTTATGAATATTAAAAGATAGCTGTCCATAAAGATTGGATATTCACCTTCCCACAGCAATACATAAGTGTCTGTTTTCCCAGATCATCACCTGGACTCAGTGTTATCAGCTTTTTCTGTTTTGTGATTAGACGAGGGAAAACTGCACTTCAAATCTGCATTGCCTTGAATGCTAACAATGCTTTTCATTAGTTTATTAATCATTTACAGTTTCATTTCTAGAAATATGAACATTCTTTTCCGTTTTGTTGTTTTTTCAATCAATCTGTGGGAGTTCTTTGAAAATTGGAAGTATTGAGTTTTTCGCCTGTCATCTATACTGTGTGCATATTTGACTCAACCTAATTCTTGTCTTTTGGTTTTTTACTATACATTTTTTCGTTCGGAAATATTTTTAAACATGGAGGTCTATTGATCATTTTCTTGACTGCCTGTAAGATTCCTGTCTTGATTCCTGATCTCTGCTTACCCACAAGGTTACGGAAATATTTTCCTAAATTTTCTTCTAATATTCATAAAAACTTCATTTTATATTGAGGTTTATTAATCTACTTGGTATGTAATTTGATAAGTGGCATAAGGCCTGAGTTTATAATAATTTACTTCCAAGTGGATAGCAAAATAATACCAATATTTAATAATCTTCCTTTTCCTACTGAGCTGTAATGCCAGCTTTTCCAATATTAACTTCTAGTATATTCATGGGTATGTGTTGAGAGTCTGTGCTACATTCCCTTGTTCCGGTTGTTATTTCTCATGCCATTGACATTATGTTTTGATGACTATAGATTTATTATAAGTTTTGTATGATCACACAAGATCCCTCCCCCCGATTAGTCACCCTCTGAAACACTCATTTCTTCTTCCGCCTAAATTTTTAAAATAACTTTTCTAATTCCCAATGTCTTTCTTTGGATTCTGGAAGGAATTATTTTGCATTTATATATATATTTGGGAATTAATGATATTTATATAGTACCAAGTCTTCCCAAACAGTACATGGCATATTTCTCTATTTATTCAGGTGTTGTTTTATGTCCTTCAATAAAATGTTCAGTTCCGTATCCTTACTGATATAGTCCTAGGTATTTTATAGATTGAGCTAACACTGTAAATGCAATTTAACACCCATTTCTTACCAGTTAGAAACTGCTGCTGTATACCTATCTTGTGCCCTGTTCCTGCATGCATGGGGAGAAGCAGTTTGGCAGGTGAGCCCAGGCCAGATATGTGACAGCGAGCACCTCATCCCAGCCAGAATCGCCTCATGCATCTCAGAGTCGTACGATGTAGTTTGATTTCTGGGTGAAGAATAGTACAAACGAGCCACGCATGAAAATAGACGCCGTTCTTTAGGCCCGACGTCCCCAGACCGTCAGATCAGCCAGGTCTGAGTATTGTCCTGGGGAGAGTTCTGCGCAACCAGAAGGGGGAAATTTCCCAGAATCCCCTGGAATCTTGCTAAGAAGCCTTAGACTGACTATGGCAAACGTTCACAACGACACTTGTTGAAAAGTCTCTTCTCTTTTGGTTTTTGAAGCTATTGGGGGGTGGGGGAGGAAGTGTGTGTGTGTGTGAGTGTGTGTGTGTGTGTGTGTTTCTGATATATACGAATTTGGGAATCCACCAGGGGAAGAAAAATCAGCAACCTGGTCAAAACTTGATTTTAAAAAAAAACAGACTAAAGAAATTTAACTTAAATGTCTAAAAATGTAGAAATGTTGAACATTTTTAAACAGTTTATGTTAAATAAGCTATAGTATACTCATATAGAGGAATCTGATACATCTATACAAAAGAATCTTGTTCAGTCTATACAAAATATGTTTCTAAGAACACTTTATGGCATTACAAATGCTCATGCTAGCATATTAAGTTATATAGATGTCTTTCAAAACTGCATGTTTAATTTGACATTATTTTTGGAGATAATGTGAGAGGCAGAATAGGTGGGCTGTACTTACACACTAATATGTGTAGCGGGATCTACTTTTTATATGTGTGTAAAGGGATTATATTTCCTTTTATTTTCCAGGTTTTTCTACAATAAACATAATCAGATGGGGAAAGGCCTTATTTAAGATGCACTATCTTTTACATTCATACTGGCAGTATGGCTGAAGCCATAACAAAGTACCGTAAACTCGGCAGCGTAAAACAACAGAAATGTATTCTCTCATAGTTCTGGAGGCCAGAAATGTGAAATCAAGCTGTCATCAGGGCCACGCTCCCTCTGAAGGCTCTAGGGAAGGATTCTCTTTGCCTCTTCTGACTTTTGATGGTTGCCAGCAACCCTTCGCATTCCTTGCCTTATTGACACATCACTCCATGTCTGTCTCCATCTTCACATGGCTCTCCTCCCTGTGCCTGTGTCCAAATCTCCCTCTTTGTATTAGGACATCCGTCATTGGATCAGAGCCCACTCTAATCCAGTATGACCCCATCTTAACTTGATTGCATCTGCAAAGAGCCTGTCTCCACACAAGGTCACAGTCACAAGTTCTAGGGGTTAGGACTTCAGCATATCTTTGGGAGGGACACAGTTCAACCATAACAGCCCACTCATTGGCTCCCCCAAATTTATATCCTTCCCACATGCAAAATGCTTTCACCCTATCTTAACATCCCCTTAAAGTCTCCTCTTTCTTTCTCTCACTCTCTCCAAAATTTTTGTGGTTGATTCTGTAAACAAAATGCAAGCATGACCGTGGCCCAGCTCTATTGGACAACCAGTGCTCATATAACCAGACCTTTATAGGGCTAAAATTAAAGCAGGACAGATGAATCCAGAACTTTGCTCCCAAACAAAACCACTGTTTCTGTCAGCGATGTAAAGGCCAAGGTGAACTCTTCACCTGGTGACATCCTCATCTCTCCCAAAAGCCATAAAACAATTTTATCAAGTGCTTTCTGAGCCAACACTTATAATATAGATCAGCCATCCAGGCCACTGAGCATTGCTTTGACTGTTTGGCCACCAGGTAGTGCTCCCTGATTTTAAAATCACGCTGCTCAGCCAAATGTTTCCGTGTCTGCAGAAAAACTAATGTCTCCCCTTCAGGAAGGGACTTATAATTCACAGTTCAGCCCTGACAACAGCGTGAGCTAATTAACCAATCTTGGAAACAAAATAGAGCCGTTTTTATTTTATTTTAAACCTGTTTAATAAAAATGATATGCATGGCTGCTGAGGCAGTAGCCACTACCAGGAAATTATTATGAACATAAATTAGCAGTGCAGTTTGTCCAACCCGGAGGTAAGCAAGTTTTCAGACTGATTTGTTTTAAAACAGAAATCACAACCCTCGAGACAGAAATTACATGCAGAAATGCTGAGGCATTGATCCAGAGCCAGGAAAGTGAAGTTCTGGGAAATTAAGGGAACAGACCATGAAACTGGATTCTAGCCATAGGTCTCGTGCTCACTTCGACAGCACACGTATGAAAATTGGAACGATACAGAGAAGGCTGGCATTGCCCCTGTTGCAAGGATGACACACAAATTTGAGAAGGGTTCCATATTTTTAACTACTGTATATAAAAGAGATAAACAACAAGGTCCTACTGTACAGCACAGGGGACTACACTCAATAGCTTGTGATACTTATAATGAAAAAAATCTGAAAAAGTATATACATTATGTAGAACTGAATCACTGTGCTGTACACCAGAAACTAACACAACATTGTAAACCGACTCTACTTGAATTTAAAAAAAAAAAAAGACTCAGGTCCCAAGTTTGATGGAAACATAGTGTAGGAGAAGGAAGTAAACTCTACGTCACAAAGCACTAAAGTCCACTCCACTGCGCCAACTCTAGGTGCCCTCGTGTGAGCAAGGCCAGCTCTCCAGGCTGGCCCTGCTTCATCACTTGCGCGACCCAGGGCAAAATGAAAAGGCAGAGCCCCTTTTCCATAAATTAAGAATTTCATAAAGGTTTCAGCAGAACATTAAACCAAATCCAAGTCCCTCCTAAGCAGTGACTGCACAGGTTGTACTGTCTCCAGGTTTCAACTTCTTCATCAGTGAAATGGGAAAAAACAAAATTTCATTTGCCTTGCCTCCTTCATGGGGTGATCAGGATGATGGATTGAGATATCTGTCAAAATGCCTTGCAAATTTGAACGCTCTTTATCCAGAGCAGAGGCCGTGGAGAGTCTGGAAACACAAGCAGGAGGTCTCCTGGATACCTCCTGCCCACTTACAGAAATTTAATAAGGGACAGCCAAATACTTCACCTATATTTAGTGCTTTATAAATCACAAAATTGAGATGGAGCTCATTCTTTTTAAAATTTTTTTATTGAAGTATAGTTGATTTACAATGTTGTGTTAGTCTCAGGTGTAAATCAAAGTGATTCAGTGATATATATATATATATATACACACATACATACATACATACACACACATATACACACATATATTTTCTTTTTCAGATTCTTTTCCATTATAGATTATTACAAGATATTAAATATTAAAGATTATTACAAGATATTATACTGCTATACAGTAGGTCCTTGTTGTGTATCTATTTTATATATAGTAATGTGTGTCTGTTAATCCCAACCCCTATTTTATCCCTCCTCCCCTTTTCCCCTTTGGTAACCACAGTTTGTTTTCTATGTTCATGAGTCCGGTTTTGGTTTGTAAATAAGTTCATTTGTATAATTTTCTTTAGATTCCACGTATGACATAGAGTTTACTCTTCCCACATATAAGCGATATCATGTGATATTTGTCTTTCTCTGTCTGACTTACTTTACTTAATATGATAGTCCCTAGGGCCATCCATGTTGCTGCAAATGATATTATTTCTTTTTTATGACTGAGTAATAGTCCATTGTATATATACACCACATCTTTCTTTCCATTCACCCTTCAATAGACATTTAGGTTGCTTCCATGTCTTGGCTGTTGTAAATAGTGCTGCTATGAACATTGGGGTGCATGTATCTTTTCAAATTAGAGTTCTCATCTTTTCCAGATATATGCCCATCAGTGGGATTGCTAGATCATATGGTAAGTCAATTTTTAGTTTTTTAAGGAACCTGCATATTATTCTCCATAGTGGCTGTACAAACTTACATTTCCACCAAGAGTGTAGGAGGGTTCCCTTTTCTCCACAGCCTCTCCAGCATTTGTCATTTGTGGACTTTTGCATGATGGCCATTCTGACTGGTGTGAGGTGATACCTCATTGTGGTTTTAATTTGCATTTCATTGATAATTAGTGATGTTAAGCATTTTCTCACGTACCTGTTGGCCATGTGTTTCTTCTTTTGAAAAATGTCCGTTTAGGTTCTCTGCCCATTTTTTGACTGGGTTGTTGTTTTTGGTTTTTGTTTTGTTTTGTTTTGTTTTTTTGGTTATTGAGTTATATAAGCTGTTTGTATATTCTGGAAATCAATTTTTTTGCTTTTTTATTGAGGCACAGTCAGTTACAATGTGTCAATTTCTGGTGTACAGCATGATGTCCAGTCATGCATATATGTACATATATTCATTTTCATATTCTTTTTCATTAAAGGTTATTACAAGATATTGAATATAGTTCCTTGTGCTATACAGAAGAAACTTGTTTTTTATATATTTTTATATATAGTGGTAAACATTTGCAAATATGAAACTCCCAGATTTATCCCTTCCCACCTCCTTTCCCCCAGTAACCATAAGATTCCCTTGTCAGTCGCATTGTTTGCAAATATTTCCTCCCATTCTGTAGGTTGTCTTTTCATTTTGTTTATGGCTTCCTTTGTTGTGCAAAAGCTTTTCTGTTTAATTAGGTCCCGTTTGTTTATTTTTGCTGTTATTTCCATTACTCTGGCGACATCCAAAAACTATTGCTGCAGTTTATGTCAAAGAGTGGTCTGCCTATGTTTTCCTCTAGGAGTTTTATAGTATCAAGTCTTACATTTAGGTCTTTAATCCATTTTGACTTTATTTTTGTACGTGAGAATGTTCTAATTTCATTCTTTTACATGTAGCTGTCCTGTTTTCCCCGCACCGCTTATTGAAGAGACTGTCTTTTCTCTGTTGTATATTCTTGCCTCCTTTGTTGTAGGTTAATTGACCATAAATACGTGGGTTTATTCCTGTGCTTTCTAGCCTGTTCCACTGATCTGTTTGTTTTTGTGCCAGTACCATACTGTTTTGATTACTGTCACTTTGTAGTATAGTCTGGAATCAGGGCCCATGATTCCTACAGCTCTGTTCTTCTTTCTTAAGGTTGATTTGGCTATTTGGGGTCTTTTGTGTTTCCATACAAATTTAAAAATTGTTTTGTTCCAGTGCTGTGAAAAATGCTATTGGTAATTTGATAGGGATTGCATTAAATCTGTAAATTGCCTTGGGTAGTATGGCCATTTTAACAGTATTGATTCTTCCAATCCAAGAACATGGACTATCTTTCCATCTGTTTGTCATCTTCAATCTATTTCATCAGCTTCTTATAGTTTTTGGAGTACAGGTCTTTTGCCTCCTTAGGTAGTTTTATTCCTAGATATTTTATTCTTTTTGATGTGATAGTAAATGGATTTGCTTCCTTAATTTCTTTTTCTGATATTTTCTTGTTAGTATATAGAAATGCAACTGATTTCTGTATATTAATTTTGTGTCCTGCAACTTTACCGAATTCATTGATGAGCTCTAGTAGTTTTCTGGTAGTGTCTTTAGGATTTCCTATGTACGATATCATGTCATTTGCAAACAGTGACAATTTTACTTCTTCTTTTCCAATTTGGATTCCTTTTATTTCCTTTTCTTCTCTGAGCGCTGTGGCTAGGACTTCCAAGACTGTGTTGCATAAAAGTGGCAATGGTGGTCATCCTTGTCTTGTTCCCGATCTTAGAGGAAATGCTTTCAGCTTCTCACCATTGAGTATGATGTTAGCGGTCAGTTTGTCATATGTCGCTTTTATTATGTTGAGGTATGTTCTGTCTATTCCCACTTTCTAGAGAGTTTTTATCATACATGGATGTTGAATTTTATCAAAAGCTTTTTCTGCATCTGTTGAGATGATCAGATGGTTTTTAGTTAATGTGGTGTGTCACATTGACCGATTTGTGAATATTGAAAAATCCTTGCATCCCTGGGATAAATGCCACTTGATCATGGTGTATGATCCTTTTAAAGTATCGATGGATTCAGTTTGCTAGTATTCTGTTGAGGATTTTTGCATCTATCAGTGATATTGGCCTGTAATTTTCTTTTTTGGGATACCTGTGTCTGGTTTTGGTATCAGGGTGATGGTAGCCTCATAGAATGAGTTTGGAAATGTTCCTTCCTCTGCAATTTTTGGGAATAGTTTCAGAAGGGATAGGTGTTAACTCGTCTCTAAATGTCTGGTAGAATTCACCTGTGAAGCCACCTGGTCCTGGACTTCTGTTTGTTGGGAGAGCTGGAGCTCATTGTGAAAAGTTTCCACTGAATCCAAAGGAACCAACTGACTGAATGCAATGTGGTTTTTTGGATTGGACCCTGGAACAGCAAAAGGAGAGCAATAGGAAAACTGGTGGAAACCCATAAAAGCTCTCGAGTTTAGTTAATAGTAACATGCCACTGTTAATTTCTCAGTTTTGGCAGATGTACCACAGTTATGTAAGATGTTAACATTAGGGGAAGCTGGGTAAAGGTTGTGCAGGAACTCTGTGTGCTAGCTTTGCAACTTTTCTGTAAATCTAAAGTTATTCCAAAATAAAGAGCTTATTTAAAAAGTGAAACTAGTCCAGTTTGACTGACTGGGAGGAAATGATGATTCTTACTTAATTGGAGGTGAAATCACAAGATTAGCTTCTATATTATAATGTGGAAACCTGTCCTAAGTTACCTAGACAGTTATTTTAAGTTATATATACCTAAATATGTACACACGTATATACCTAAGTAAAAAGGAAAGCGGGCAGGGGAGAAAAAAGACTGGATAAATGAGAATAACTTGACATTTTCCTGCAAGTACACAGTATTCTATATATTTATAATTCACTCAAAGGTTCTATTTTCATTCCAGAATCTTCTTCCTTTAATAGACATCACTCCATATTGTTTTCTTATTAACATTTTTTTCTAGTTGCAGGATTTAATTCATGATTATTCCAGAAAATACGTAAGAATACAGCACCCCCAAAAGTATCTATGATCCTATCACTGAGAAGTAAATCAACATTCTGACCTATTTTTATCACTCTCTTGTATGTGCATGTGAACGTAAAATATATTTTAGAATAATGGAAGCCATTGTATATAAACCAGCATTTCCAAGATTATGTTCCATGGAACATTGGGATCTGTGAACCAAAAAATTGGGGAATGCAGCAGCCCATAATCTCCCTCTGCGATTCACTCTGCAAAGTAGCATAGTGAAAGCCGTGAGAAGTCCTGCATCATTTTTTTAAACTCGGATTTCTCATTGTTTGAATTCTATTATTATCCAGCAGAATACGCCTTCGGAAATTCTGGTATAAATAGCTCGGTCCTAGATTTTTTTCATGTAACAAGACGTTCTGCGTATTTTCTCATGTTACTAAAAG